CGATCAAAGTGTTCAGATATGTCAACAATGTCGCTCGTCATAGTCCGATTGTTTTGGCTGCCCATTCCGCCAATTTTCTCACTAAACTACACGTGCTTTCGCTCCACAGTAAGGGTAACATTTTCCAATTGCGACACATTAAAAATACAATAAATATTTACGTAAATTTCTTTGGATGTACTTCCATTTGACATTTTAAGCTTAAAAATCTGAAAACAATTTAAAAACAATCAGTTATAGTTATAGTTATCAATTTACCTGAAAGGAAATCTGAAAAGTAAGAATAATTAAATCTTTAAATTTATGTTTTGGTATTTATTGGAAGTTGATGCTTTATAAAGATATAATTTTTAGTTTATCTCAATACTAGTTTTTTCAATAAATTTGCCTTTGCGACAAAATGTTTTTATTTAACAAGAAATTGAGACAGAAACGTATTCGTTTCTTATTCTTGCAAGAATAATAAAAGGTTGAAATTCGACTGGTCTGTTTTGTCAGACAATTGAAAGTCGCTCAAACGCTACTGACTCATCCAAGTGAAGTGGCTGCATTGTCAAGATATAATTTCTGGTATATGTATGGCGGCATGCAAATTCGGATTCATATTTTTGCAACTTTATTTTAGTTTTAATTGCGCGCACGCAATAATTTTCCTTGATGGCGCATCAACGTCAAGGCGAATCGCTCGCCAACGCTCCATCCATCATAAAACCAGCCAGCTCAGCACCGAAATCGAGGGCTCGGGAGGAGAAGGCTCTCTGATTATGAGCGCGTGCGCACAATCAGACGGCCAATTCACAGAGGGACAGGGCACAGACAGAAATTCACCCAGTTGGGACTGGCTCGATTGTTGGCTCGATTATCATGCAGGGGGCGCATCGGCCATAAAAACGATTCTGCGATTCCCTCTGTGTGTGTTGGCCAAATGGCGTCTTGCGCCTTGTTTTGCATGCTGCGCTCGTTAAGAACGCCACCGAGAACAATGCAGTAGTAGCAGCAGTGCCAGAAGTACACATAAAATAAAACAAAGCAAAAAAAACATGTTAAAAAATATAAATACATTTTAAAATACAATTTTTTAAAGAATTTTTCTTTAAAAAATGTAAAACAAAATACATTTAAATAAAGTAGCTAGGCTCTGTTAACTACCTGTTGCTGTTTTAATCTATGATCTTTATATTATTCGGTATTCTTAAGATTAATGTAAAATAAATCAAGTAGTTAAGTTAAGTTCCCAATAATTATATGTCAGATACCCAAGATTTCCCAGAATTCTAAAAGTTGGTTAAAATTTAAAAAAAAAAATCGAAAGATAAGTCCCTTAAAATTTATTCATTAACTTTCAAAACCAATTATAATAATTTGTCGTTGAAATCAGGCTATAGAATTTCTTAGTGTATATGCAGCACTTACCCAACTGGTGACCAGTAATGGGCTTAGCCCAAGCAAACCCCCTTGCCAACCAAAAACGCTGCGGTTTATAATGACGTCTCGGGCAAAATAAGAATCGAGTCAAAGCCGCGACCTGCATATTGATTTGGCATGGATTAACAAACCTGACTCTCCTTCACCACAGGCCAAGCCATAAAGCCAAGAATGCTTGAGACGTTTGCCTACTCATGACAATGCAATCCGTTCTTATATAAATATTCATTTTATTTCATAGATCTACGGGCCACATGTGCCTGCTTATAAGCCAAGACCAGAAGTCACAGAGATCAAATCAGTTTGCTGTGGACCTTGATGTTTAAAAGATATAAAAAATATTTAAGTTAACACTAAAAGAAATTATTACTAAATCTTGTGCTATGAATTACCTCGAAATCAGTTATGACAAACTATCTAATTCCTTTAAATTTAATCTGAAGAAAACACTTGTAATGCCTTTTTCTCAAATAAACGTATTTAAAGGCGTCTTCACGGCATTTCAAATTTTAAACTTTGTCACAAAGTTTTTAATTAATTCAATTTAATTTAATCATGAAACCCAACATTTTTCAATGGAATTATCTATAATTGAAATGAAGTGATAGGATCAATTGTTAATTGTTATAAATTCTTAAACTAGTTATTTTCTTTTCTTTAGGTTCGTTCCTAATAATGTAAATGTAATGTACATTTAAATAAGTTCTGCGCACATATACCACTTAAAAATACATTTTAATGTTGCTTGCAACTTTAACCTAATACTCTACATTCTGTTTGAGGAGAAGACTAAAACGTTTATTGATTTAACATGGCCAAAATCATTCACAATTCTCTTTTAAAAGTTTACAAAACTCTTTGAACTAACACAGCTCTTTTTTTTCTAGCTCTTAGGTCCATAGCCGTAAGCCAAAAAAAAAAGAAGAAAACGAGCAAAAAGCAGAAACCAATTTAATTTGTTTGTTTTACTAATCAGCGGCACGTACTCGCACGTTTCTTGCGTCAAAGTCTTTAGTGCGGTCTTTAGCTGAATTCTGTTCGCCGTCGTTGGTAATATCGGTGCTCTTGTTGTTGCCATTGCTGTTAGTGGACGGCCTGGCCAGGTCGGGTGAAGTGGCTGTCGTTTGGTTAAACAGCCCACGTTTAAACATGGCTCAGAGCGTGCTAATCAAGTGGCTCCGAAAACAAAATTACGCGACCGACTGAGCAAAAGCTAGCTTCGGCTTTGTCTCGTCTTTCATATATTTCTGATGCTCTTGGTGGGGGTATTAAAGTTTTCTTAAAAAGTTAGCAACGCTGGACACCTTAAGTCTTTTAATATAAAGTATTTTTCGGATTAGCTTATTTTAAGCACTCAGATATAAAAATAAAAGTATAAGAATCAAATTTGTATGTCCAGAGAAAAACCCCATAGTTAAATGAAATATTAAAATATTTAAATGTAACATTGCTTTTCAAAATATAAACTTACTTAAAATAAACCAAAAACATGATGATGTTATTAACATATTATATTGGTTTAGCCAAGAGGAAAATTTTAATTTTAAAACTAAATTATGCCATTTGATTTTAAGAAAACACCTCTCGGGGCTAAGTGAGTACCGAAAATATTTAATACAAAGGGAAAATATTTGGATTTACAATGATTTTTTTTTGGGTGCATACCTTTAGCTGCCAAATATGTATTGATTTTTTGACAATATTTAAACTGTGAAACTTTTACTGCAACATTCCAATAACAATATTGACAAGAACATTTTCGGAAAGGGTATTTGCACTTCAGCCTGCAATCGTTTTATTGCTTCCTCGAATTTTTGATTGACTTTGTTTTTTATGATATTTGGTCGCATTGCGTTGTAGTTGGATTTGGCTTTGGCTTTGGTTTTGGTTTTGGCTCCAGCGGATCTTGGGGTTTTGGGCTAGGGGTGGGCCGCATAGATACGCTTTGATGGCTTCTAGGTGAAGGTCATTGTGTGACTTAAATGTTAATTTCACTGCCTGTCATTCTTTTATGGCGAAGTGTTTGTTAAACATTCTACATACTTGAAAACTCACACGCAAGCCGGTATTTATGTGGGCTATGGAAATGCCGAGATTTTGAAGCTTCTGGAAGCACCCATCTTTAATTATACTGGTTTACGAAGCTAGACAAAACCCTTCATAGATGCAAGGTTCCGGGGCAGTGGAGCTCTATGATTAAAAAAATTATTCCTTACATTTTTTGTATGATATCACTTGTAAGTGTAATTTGAGTTTTATAACATCTCGTCTAATTTTTATCTTTTAGTTAATGCAAGTAAATTGTTATTTTTATTCTCATATTTTATTGAGATAAAATATAATAACTTACTTTAATAATAAATTATCATTTGAAACGCTTAAGAAGAACAGAAAATTAACTATAATGAAATAGAATAAAATGGAAAGTGTAGAAAACGTTTTTAAAATCAGTGAAAGCGGTCTGAGTAACGATTATGTCTGACTTTAATGAAGATGATGGAAATGTGCGACATATTTACAGACAAGTACGCGTGCATTTCAGTGACTGGATGGGTGCTTCCACGGAGGATAATGAGCTGCAGCCACCAGAACAGAGTCTGCTGGCCCAACTAATGGCCTTGTTCCATGGTGGTTAGGAGGTTGGCTGCTGCAACTTCAGCAGCAGGACAGCACAGAACCGATTCAGCACCGTTTTGCTGATGCGGCACACTCCAAAGCCGTAAAAGGGCATTAGCCTCGTGAGTAGATTGCATGTTTTTAGCAGGGGTTTTCTGATGGGGCTTCGGTGGGAGGAGGGCGCTTTGGAAAATTGAATAAAGTGCCGTATGAGCCAAAGAGGGATTGAGGCAACGGAGCAGAGTGAAGTGCTCGTTGTTCGTAGCCAAGTCATTTTAGGGTTGCCGGCAGCATCCAACTTCGGTCCTTGTTTATACTTTTGCAGGGAGTTACAAATACAGTCGCTCTGGGAAGTTTGCTACACATCAAATTTGGATTAGATATTAGGAAAAGAAAATTATATATTTGTGCTATCAAAAAGATTCAAGAAAATTTAAGCATTTCGTATACTTGCTTAAGTCTTAATTTTTGTTGATAAACTGATAAACCTGATAAACTTTTAATAAATTATTAAGCGTGTTCTATTTATTTGTTTTTTAATAAGTAAGATAAAAATGTAAGAGCATTACATATTTTTATTAATTTGTATAAACGGAAATGATAATTTAATTTTCAATTTCGACGATTTTACTGTTTCAACTAAGCCTGCTCGTATCTACCCCTGCCTTAGAAATATATCAATAATTAAGAACTAATCGTTGACTTGTTTGCATGACTGTTGCACTGCAAGTGTTATCATGTCGTATGCGCAATGCTTGTTTTGGCTCGGTCTGTGATGACTCAGATTCAGCGCGGAATATTACGCCTCCCACCGCATAAATATGAATGAGGAAATCCAAGCAACTTGCACCTTGGGCTTTGCCCAGACTGGATTTTCCAGAAAATAATGTGAACAGTCATTGATCGGACCAATCCGTATAAAAACGAAAGAAATTACAACTAGAAATGCAGTTGTCCGCAGATTATTGAACAGCATGAATAGCCACATTATTCGAATGCTGTTCCTAGTTGGAGTCACTTGTGCCGTGCTAATTGCTGCACATCCGCACGACAATATTGTCTTTCCGGAGGATTCTAATTATGATGTATTGGAGGAATCTGGTAGTGGGTACAACAGTGCCGAAGAGTTCATGAACGCAATGGATGATCTAGTCAGACGTTGGCAGGAGTACGATGAAGCCCAAAAGAATTCAACTGACTACTTAAGTGATAGCTATGAAGAGACAACCTTAGATTCGATTGATTTTGTTACCAAGCCTGTAACATTATAGTGACTAATAAATTCTATCTTAATATTAAGTTACCCTTTGAAATGCTTGTACATAAATTAACTTAAAACATTAAAATGTATTTGTTGCAAATAAGTAGAAAAGAAAAACATTATAATAAACTAGTTCAATTTCTAAACCAATTTACAACTTTTATATTAATATAAAGCTTGTAGGAAAATCCAAGAAACAATATTAACATAGAAAAATCATTAAAAATAAATTCATTACACGCATGTAAATCGAAATTTTTTTGTTTTAAAGGATATTTAATTTTTGCAATAGCTGCCAGGGTATAAAAATCGAAATTCTTGAAGATGTCGAAAACTAACACGATGTATTCTTGCTTAAATAGAATTGCCTCGGGAATTATGAACCAGCATCAGCACAATATACCAATACTACAACCGGAACGTCATATATAATATCAATTTGGCTTGTGGTAAACCGGCACCATATACTGTTGAAGTGAGCTGGAAATTCCCGCACTCACCTTAATCAATATATAACCTCTGAACACAAAATACCAATCATTTAGAACTGCTGATAACTCAAGGCAAGGCTATAAAAGCGAAGCTCAGAAGCCGACTGACACTCAGTCAACTGCAGCAAGTGCCAATCGAATGAAAATGCAAGCCATTCTCCTGCTTTTTCTGCTCTGTGCAGGCTGTTCCACAATCGCTGCATCGGGTATATTCCAGAGTATAAACCTGGGAGGCGGAGGCGATTCAAGATCTGCAGGTGGCAACGTCGACTTCAATGGCAATGACTGGAGCGATAGTGTTCACAACTCTGATGTCGATAACTTGCTGAAGCGACTGGAAAAATTGGATGGCAGTGAGAATAATAGAAACAACTGGGGAAACGATGACGACAGAGCATCTGGGTTCGATGCTGATCGATTCAGAGATGATTCAAATGAGGACGCACGCGGAGTTCAAATTATAAGCTTAGCTTAAACACTCGAAATGTATACAAAAAAAATTGGAAGAAATAACAAAAGTGGGATGCCTTAAATTTATATCTAAAACTAAATAAATTGAAGCTGTCTTTTTTATTTAGTTTCTTATTGTAAACTGTTGACTACAAAAAATAACCAACATTTCAATAAAATTTCAGTCGAACAACTTATACTATACTTATCCTGCAAATTATCCCGTTTCTATTCAAATAAGCTTGTGGCATAGTTTAGAAAATAATACTTTTACTTTCCGTTTAACACAGCGTTAAACTCTTAATAGCTCATGCTAACTAAATGGATAATAAATAGAAAAAAAATCAAAAATTTTCGAGCTTAGAATAAAACATTAATTAGCATATTTATGCTATTTTATGTTAGTTGCCGAAGTTCAGCCATCAGCTTTAACCACGTATAATTTAACTAACGGAAGGTTATCGGGTTAAATTGAATCGATTTCCGCGTTATGAATATATTTATTCAGTACTTTTCAGCGGGTAAACCGATTAAAGAAATACGGTTACCATCGAAAGTAATTTTTAATGAAAGATTGATTTTTAAATTTGCAATTAATATAATTAACTTAACCATTAAATCAATGAAAATACAAACATCGAACGAAACAATCAATTATTTCAAATGAAATGCAATTACTATGCAAATTCTCTCGCCACATTCGAATGTTCGACTGTGCACGTATAATTAAACATTTTGACGTGTAAATTTGGACTTTAATTTAAATGATTACTTTTGTTTTTGACCAGCGAAAACAATGATTAAATCGAAAAGTGAATTGGGGGTGTAAATTAAACAATTGTGAAGTTGTTGCCGCAGGACGACCTTCCGTTTGCTGCTTTGGGAATGATCCAAAAATTTAGTTATGTTGTTAAACATATAGCCATAAAAATCGCAATATTGTTGTTTTAAAAATGATTAATTTTTCAAAATAGCTGTATATAGACTTCGAATTGCTGAAGCCTGCTTCTTTTCTTGTTTTAATATTTTTTAAGATTGTAATGGTTTATTATTTCAGAGCTACCGTTTATAATTTTATTGAAATCGGAAAACAATATCATTTAACTGCCACAGAAACGATCGAATAATTCATCGGTATTATTATTTTATATTATAGTTTTGCAATACCTGGTAATGGGTAAACAAATCAATTTGTTTACAGCTTCAATTTTTTTGTGTCAGCTTCCGCCTTTTTTAAATTTATAATAAAATTTATAAAATTTAAGTCTTACAAATGGGAATCATAATGGAGGTCATGAAAAACCAAAAGCACTTAAAGTCATTGGAAAAGTATGTTAGCTGTGAACACTCGCTCAGTGCCACTCGCTCAGTGCCCTTTTAGTTAAATTCAAAACCTCGATTAAGTAAACGCAATGTGGCTAAAGCCTCTTTGTCTTGATTTTTTACGACACAAACAAGAAAGGAATAAGAAGCCGGGTTTGAGTAAGATATGCCTGCCAGTCAGGAATTAGTTGCAGGTTGGTAAAAGGACGGAAATATAAACTGTTGACACAGACAGCGGCCATCTTAAAGTAACCCCGTAAGTCATAGACACTAGGAATTAAAGTTAACTCGGATTCGGATTCGACTTCCACTTTCAATTCAGCACCATCAGCAAAGCTTTTTACGCAGCCAACTGATTCAATTTATTTACTATGTCACTCTCTGTCTAAGACTCAGTAGATGAATGATGTCCCCTCCTGCCGGAGCTCACTTTATGGTCTGTTCTAGCTCTTAAGTCTCTTAATGGCAGAGAAATCGTTGGCTTAGGTCTCCCCTCAGTTTCATATCCCCCCGTTTACTTGTCAATGGAGGGTAAATTGAATTGGGGACTGCTGCTTATCAGCCTTTTATTTACTCGCTTATCGAGTATAACGAAACTCTAAAAGTGATATAAGATATGGCGGCTCTTGTGCCAAATATTTCGCTGATAACAAAAGGAGCAGCAGTGCTGAATGATTTGTTCTTTGGGTTGCTCTTTCGAATCTTGTTTTTGTGTAACACATGGCAATACAAAATAAAAGAGTGCAAGCAAACGTATTCAGCACTTTGAAAGTCCAGTCCACAAGAAGCTCACTGGCATTAGTGGGTTCAATTCTTTGGAATGACAATAACCCCCTGAAAGTGGGATTCTGCCATCGATTGCTGGCCACAATTAATTACCACATTCGAGCAAAACAAATTCTGCATTTACCTGTTTTTCTTCTTTTGAATTCGCCCAGACAATTAACATGCGGCGGCGTGTTGATTGTTGTTGTTGCCCCTCTGCGTTTAACAAATGCAAAAATAATTATAATTAATGCAGAGTTTTTGGCCTTGAACTTGCATAACCTGGTGTAGTCTCTCTCTCTCTCTCGCTCTTCGACGTAATTACTTAATCGCTTGTGGTTCTGCTTTTTGGACAGGCCAACAAAATCGTCATCGGCATTGTCATGACCAGTTAGTGGGTGAGTCCCACCAAACAAATTTCGCATTCATATTTGTTAAGCCGCAGCTACAAAAAAAAAAAAACGTAGTTTAAAATATAAATATTTTCAGCTCCGCTGAGCAGCGCAATGCAACTGCAAAAAAGAGCGGCTATAGATAGGAAAATTCAAATTCAAATTCAAGTACTGCTCAACCTCTCTGTCGCTCTGTCTGGCCAAGTTCAAGGTGAACATTTGCCTCGAAACTTGGCGAATTTCTGTGGAAACATCCACCGAGCCATATACGATCTCCCGGTTATTACTCACCTTTGACAAGGCCCCAAACGATCGCGAATGTTAGCCTGACTCAGAGAACGAGGCAGGGACAAGGGGGCGGCGGGTCAGTCAAGTGCAGCCAGCTCAGCTCATCCGAGAACGCCCACGGGGATGGCGGGGAGTGCAGTCACTCATTTCGCTAATTAATAACTCAGACAAGTCAGCGGAGGCACTAAATCATACACACAGATGAAGGAGAGACCGGGCATCGGGGCAAGAGTCGCTAGTTAGGTGATGCAGTTAATTGGGATCCATTACCAAGTGCCAAAGACTGGTACTCAATCTATAAAGTTAAATAGGCGAACGATACCTTTATAGAGAAAAACTAGAAACAGCGATATAGTCGAGTTCCCCAACAATTATATCTACAGAAAATGTTCCCATTAACAAACTTTTTTTGCAATACTCCACAAAAGATATGGGCTATATAAACATTTGATGAAAAGTTCAGTGTTCAATGATGTGTTCAATTCGGATGACTTCCATTCAATAATGAATGTATTTTTAAGTGGGTTTTAGTTTTTTGAGAAAGTAGAAGGGAATTTTCAAATCAAAGGTTCCAAAACTATGTGCTCTGCTCTTAATTGAAAGCAAAACTGGCGAGGAGTTCTAAGTCCAACCATCGGACTCCTTCCATTCGAAGCACTACTGACCCACTTCCCTTTTGAATGCGGCGCCTTCTTCTTCTCTTGGGGGGCAAAGAGTCAACGTCTTTTGCCCCTCATGTTCTCCCCATTATCATCTAGTATTTGCCCCGTCAGTTCTTATGCAACAGTGGCATATGCCGTTCGCGTTCTTCCAGTTCGCTCTCGATTTCTCGGTTGTGTGCTCTTTGCCGGCTGCAATTTTATTGCTAAATTAAGTAATTGGTACGAGAAGCCGATTCCGCAGGCCCTCCCGCTCCCCTCCCTTCGACTGTCCGGCACTCGCTTTTGGATTCTGCAATCTATATGTGCTGCTGTCTGTGCTTCTGTTTGCCTTTGTGCGGGTATCTGTATCTGTATCTGAGTATCTGTATCTATTAGACCGCCGGCGGCCTCGTATCTGCATCTGGGCATCGCGAGGCGGCACACAATGAGAAGCGCGCTCTGTGCTCTTCCTCGGTATTCCACTTCTGCTTTCCATTGCGAATGTGTTTTGCAGATGCAGTCGAAGGAAGTGGTGAAGGGGGACAACAGGGCGCATGTTGAATGTGCGAGGCCGAGGCAAAAACCAAAATAATGCAAATACACAAAAAGAAAATAGAGTCAAAGAGGCCAGGCCAAAGCAAGCACTCAACATGCGAGTGTGGGTTGCGCAATCTTGCAGATACTACTCGCTTCTGCTACTTGCATTCTGAAGATTCTTTTTGGGGCATCGCACTTATTATATTTCCCTCCAGAACGAATTTCAAAGAAAACTGAACCGAAACTTTTTATGGCATCCAAATGGCCAGACGTAAAATGGCATTACGAATTAATAAATAAAGAAATCCGGACACGAGGGAGCGAGGGGGGCGAGCACTCAAAGCAGATGAACTGAAATTCCAAGGTCGCTGGCAAAAGAACTTTTTGTTAGCATGTTTATGAAGATTTTTGAATTTACTTTTCGATGCCGCTGCTCATTTTTCGGTTCTCCTCGGGTTGTTTAAAAAAGAATTAGTCGACCGATCGTCGTTGGGCGCTTGGAAACTGGAATCTCGGGACTTCATTTGAGCTGAAAGAGTTGGGCAAACGGAGTCGCAGGTAATGCGACAAATGAATGGAAAGAGCAGCGTCGAAAAAAGTTTAATTTCAGTGCTAATTAACGACGCCGAATCGAAGCCAGCTCAGAATGCTGTATATACAAATGTCTGTGCACATTTAGCCAGCTGAATTTATGTGCACGGCTTTCTTTGAATTGCGCAGCAGCCAAGATCTCGAGGCTTGAGGGGATCGGTTCTGGATTTGGGTGCTTCTGAACATTGGCCTTGACCCCAATGATATCAGAAAGTCATGAGCTCCCCGCTCCTTGTGCGAGTTCTATAAAAAAGCTCAAACGACAACGAAACATCAGTTAAGACTAATTGATTTTGGCTAAAATTGGTCAAAATGCGCAGCGGCGCAAGCGGCCAAGACAAGACCATCCACTCGACTCGACTCCACTGCACAGACCAATTCAATCATCAATCCAATCCAAGCCAATCCAAACCAATCCAATCCAAAGCCAGATTCGCCTCAACGAATCCATCAACGACAAGCAACTGCTGTAAAAAGTAGTCACCTCTGGCACCTATCTACCTGCCGTATGACATCACCGCCAGCAACGACAATTACTCGGAATACAAATAAAGAATTGCGACCCCAACTTGGTCGCAGGCTATCCTCAAAAACTCAAAAACACAGAAACTCAGAAACTGGCAACTGCAGCGTGGAGCATGACAAGGCACCAAATGGAAGGCAGAACGAGCTGGAAATTGGAATCGCAACTGAGAGCCACGCCAAACAAACAAACAACAGACTAACAATCGCTGTTGAATCGAATTCGTTGTCCAAGACGCGGTTTCAGAGCCAGAGTCGATCGATGCTGCAGGGGCGCCATAAATGGCTAAGGCTTTGCGCCGATTACTCATACGCCATGTGGCCGGCCAAACAACTTGATCTTCCATCTGCCTGCATTTTGCGACCAGTGCTTAGATAGGTAAACGTCTCAATCACTTAATTCCAATAGACAGTACATATTCATAATTGTAACTATTTAAATATTCAAATTTTTCCATTTGTCAGTAAATCTAGTGCTAATAATATTTAAATTCAAAATTAAGTGACAATCTGCTTAATAAAGTTTAAAGAGGTTTTGTGCCTTGACAATTCCAAAGATCAAATAGTCCATTCATCACTTTTGAATAAACCCAATAAAGTGTCTCTGAGTTGAGTTTTAACCACTCTATTAGCCCAAAGGGGACTTCGCGGTTCGTCATAGAAACGCTCTGTGATTAATGACCAAACTTGTCTGCTCTACGTTCACTTAATTGGTTAATTAATTTGTGTAAATTTTTGTAAATATTTAGTCGTTTAAGTGACGCACTCCTCCCTTCAACTCGTTTTCCCCACCGAAGAGGGGTTTGTGCCCCATATAGTTATAACAACCCGTAATTAGGCTTTCGAAGTTTTGTGGCCTTTTGTTTGACTCGTTTTTTTGTGTTTTCTGCTTGTTAACTTTGTTTTGTTTGAGATCATTTTCGGGTCCACCCCCTGCACCCTCGCCCCTCGCTCCTACACCCGCTCTTTTTCTCTGAGTGCCGGCACTCAAGTGGCAATTAGTGTTGACATTCATTAGCAGTGATTAAAATGAGATCAGATTGTGGCCGACGACGACGATGACGACCAGCACGTGAGAGGAAGGTTGACCGACGGACCACGCCCCTCGTATAGGCGTGTGATTCACACGAAGTGATTCGCGAACTAAACTAATACCCTTATTTAATTATTTTAACAACCCTAACTCAACAAAAAAGACCGCGTTTCACCGTCTCGAAAATATAATTATCGGAAAAAGAGGGGATTTTAGCAGAAATTTGTAAATATTTTAAATCTAGATTTATCTTTTGCTGTTAAATGTTATCATTATTGAAAGAATGATATAGGTTGGCATGTAGAATTTGACTTAAACTATAAGCATACTGAATGTCATTGCCAAATGAATAGTATTCAGGTTGTAAAGTGAGACAAAGTGGCAACAAAGTGCCACAAAGTCGGTTGAAAATAAGTCGCAAATCCCTGGAATGATTTGTTCAGCAGTAGAAAAGAGATATAGATACAGATGAACGGACTATTCGCAGGCTAAATTGGAATCCACGTCTGCAAATTGCATTCACAGTGAGAAGCACCAGTGAATAGCAAAGAATGGAAAGAAATAGAAGAACACAGAGCACGCTTCTCATTGTGCGGAGCTGCAAGAGGTCTGATAGATACAGATACCCAAATACAGATCATTTAGATTGTGGATTCCAAAGCGAGTGCAGGTCAGCCGAAAGGGGGAGGCTGCAGAGGCGTATTCTTGTACCAATTACTTAATTTAGCAATAAAATTGCAGCCAGCAAAGAGCACAGAACCGAGAAATCGAGAGCGAACTGCATCTGCCACTGTTGCATAAGAACTGGCTGGAAAAATACTATATGATAATGGAGGAATATGAGGGGCAAGAGGAGTTGACTGTTTGCCCCCCAAGAGATGAAGAAGGCGTCGTATTCATAAGGGAAGTGGGTCAGTGGTGCATCAAATGGAAGGCGGGTATTTAAAAATTCTAGTTAGTTTTAGAATTAAGTATATAACTCAGTAGTCAGAAAAGGATTTAATCCATTGGGGTGGAATGAATAAATAATTAAATATAAAAATTATTATCTACCTAAAACGGTTCCCACTTAACTGCTTCACAAATATATTTTACTATTGGTGTTTATCTATAATCCAATTTGTTAATAATACCCTAAATCGACTTTATTAATTAGCAAGCTGGCAGCAAGTGAATGAGCTCCTCTCGTATGATCTTGAGTGGGCTGCATACTTTTCACTCTGAGTCAGAAATTTATTCTTAAAGAGAATTTCACGAGTCTCCGGCTTATTTCTTGTCAAAGGTGATCTTGTTATGGGCGTGAGTAATACGAAATCGTTTTTTCGCCGACCCTGAACTCAGTTAATGAGTCTGGTTAGTGCATGTGAAGTAATGCGCGTGTGTCTTTGCCAAGCTTTGATACCGAATACCTAACGAATCTCAGCAAGTTCTCTGCAGAGATGCCCTTCTAGGGCCGAATTTTCTCGCATTTGCATGGATGTTCGCCCACGGGATCGCCACCAGTTTCCAGGATAAGTCTTCTCATGGCGTTCAATGACTTTTTAATGGCTGCGCCATATTTGAATGGACTAATTTGTGGGGAATTCTTCCAGGCGGAAATGGCAAAAATGAGCTTGTCTTCCTGCGGATTGTAGCAGCACCCGTAGCCGTCGGACAAAAGAGGTCCGTAGGCCATAAAGCTCTCGTGGGATGTGGCCACCTGAGAGGTGAACAGCTGAAAGGATACCGATCTTACGAAACCCTTTGACTGAAAGAACTCCGGCGAGGGCATGCCGTTTTCCAGGGCCATTTGCTGCAACCCAAACAGATGGCGATCGATGCCCTGTCCAGTGATGGCCTCCTTGGTCAACCGCTCGTGGGCATCCACAGCCTTTTGCAGGGCCACCAGCTGCTCGTGCCTCGAGGCCGTCTCCGACTGCATGGCCAGGACAAAGGCCTTCGACTCGTTCGAGGTGGATCGTATGGCTTCGGTGCGGCCCTCGATGAAAATTCTCAAGTGAGCGGACTCGTATTGGGCAGGTATTTTCCCGTGGACCGAGTAGTAGGCCAGACTGAGGGCCAACTGAATGTAGCTGTCTACGTTGAGACCCTGCGCCTTGATGAAGCACTTGCCATGGCAGTCGAACTGGAACACGTTCATCTGCAGCTGACTGGCGATCCTGTGGATGTTTCGCATGGCCTGGCACATCCACAAGTTGATGCACTCGTTCTTCGCTTGAAACTTTAACAATGTGGATGATACGTCCTTTTGTGGCTCACTGCTTTCGCCACCATAGTTCTCCTCGTTCCTGCTGAGCAAATTTGAGGTAAAGAATCATTAACTGGATTTATGACTGATTTCAATTGCTTACACTTTTTGTTGCACAAAGTCCATTAGCATCGCCAGTGGCTGACAGTCGGCAGGAGAATGCTCGTAGCAAAAGCCAGCCAATCCATTTGGGTTGACTATCAGCTGGATGGTCTTGTCCATCCACCTATTGGCGCTATTCTGGCGCAGTCCACCGCCGTGCAAAAGCTGGTGGGCCTGCACAATGCGCTCCTCTCCCTGGGAAATGGGCACACATTCGTCCAGGCAGACCAGGAACAGGGATTGCTCGATGGTCTCCACTGTGTCGGCATTGCCATGTTGACAGCAAAGAGCCGCATACGCCTCCGCCCAGTTGCTTCTATTGTCGTGCGTCAGCAGGCCATAAGGTTCGCCCTTTCCGATAGGACAGTCGATGATCTCCTGGAGCGCATCCCTCAGACTGGGCACACGCAACAGCTTTCCGCTTTCGCAATAAATGGGCAACTTGTAGAACTAAGTGGTAAATCAGAAAGTTTATTTAGATAGGGATTTTACAATGGATAAAAATGAAAATGAATGTAATTTATAAACGCTGTACTTCAAATTACTATATTAGTAATAAAATGGTATAAACACATCATCTTGTTATATAGTTTGTAGGGAAGTCAATAACGAAATGGAACTTTAAAGATCATTTATATAACAAAATAAATAAATAAAAAAATAAAATACCGTACTTACGTTGTTCTTGTGGACCACTACGACGTAATCGGCATCACTGAACTGTTGAAGGGTATCACAAAATCGGCCTGGTCTACGAATTGTGCCAAAGATCTTGTAGAACTGGCTGTTGTCCAGGTCATTTTTGCCCATCTTGACAACTGGGATTTTGTTTTGGTCCACTATCTGCTTGAACTCGCAGATGCCGTAAATTGCTTTGGCAGTGAAGGTGAGAAAATCAGTGGGCTCCTTGAACTCTTGAAGGGGAAAGGAGAGTCCCGGACTAGAGAAGACGGTCAGCGGGGCCTGATAGCCCAAATAGACGGCACGAGTCCACCGGGGAGTCAGCCAATTGCTGCAATGCTCGGCCTCTTCTTCGAGGAGCTTCTGGAGATCATGGCCCTCGTTGTCCGCGAACTTCTTGGTCACTTTTTTTTCCTTTTCAAGTTCCTCGGCGGTGAGAAGAGGTTCAATACTGCTAAGGTAACTGGCTAGGCTTTGTTTCAGTGGTAGAACGGGAAACTTTTTTAGCTCGGGTGTTTCTTTGGCCCCGCTAAAGTCGGGGTTTACCGGTGAATCGCATTGTTTCTTTGGCTTGCAGCTAGCATTTGTCTTTGCTTTATTCGTTGGAGAACCCGAAGAATCTTTATGTTCTTTAACTCTTGGCGGTGGCGATGTCTTTGGAGGAGCATTTTCAGTTGTAGGATCCACAGATGCTTTGATTTCACTAGAAGGTGGTATTGGCTTAGTCGGTAAAGGGGACTTTGTAGAAGGGGGACTTGGGTCTTTTGCTTTTGTTTTATCTTCTGAAAGACCCGAAGATTTTTGAATTTCTTTAACAGTCTTTTCTGGTAGCGAAGTACCAGATTTATCCTTGGTTTTGGGAAGTTCTTTTACAGTATACAAAGCCTTCCTAAAGTCTTCCTTTTTGGAACAGTCCGAGTCGGAACTTTTCCTATCCGAAGAACAGGAATCTGTTTCGGACTTACAAGGCTTGACTTTGGCTGTGGCGCAGGGATCAACTTTAGGCTTCAGGCAATCCGCTTTGGCTGCACCCCGTGGGCCATCCCTGCAAGGATTCCTTCCCATTGGAAAAGCCGAGAAGAGTGGCATGGAAAAGCTAGAAGATGGCGGTGGTGGTAGCTTTCCTTCATCAGGTTTTGTGTTGGTTTTAGGAGGACTGACTGGCTTATCCTGTTCTGGCTTTGGATTGGTATTACCCAGTGTCAATGTCTTTTTCTCCAAAAGATTTTCTTTTGATGATATGTTTTCTGATGGCTTAGGCTTGGGTTGGGAAGAACCATCTGGAACGGCATCTGTGCCCTTAACATGAGATTTTGTAGCCTCTTTTTCGGAACAGGTGTTTTCTTCAGTTCTTTGTTTACCTTGATTAATACCCAGAGCTTTTTGTTTCTCCTTTTTCTTTGGAATCTTGCTGGGCTCAGATTTGGGTTCTTTTTTGGATTTGCCGCAGGTTTTAGGCTTTGGCGTTGGAGACTTTGGCTTCTCTGCACATTTTTTGCCATCTTTACAGGGGTTTCTTCCCACATTTGGAGTTGGTGATAGTCGTTCTGCATCAGGGCTTTTTTGAGAATCCTTGGCGACTTTTGGGTTATCTTGAGCTTTGGCATTTACAGGAGAATTTCTTTTATCAGAAGACTCCACATTCGATGCAGTCCTTTCAGGAGCATTAGCTTTTTTCGAATGTTTCTCTAGAGCTGCGGTATTTACAGGTTCAATTGCTTTAGGATGCTTTGTATTTAAAATATCTGTTGACTTTGTCTGTGCAGATTGTTTACCTTCACACGAAACAGAAGGGTTACAGGTAGGTTTTTTGGGACGCTTACATTGTGACATTCCGTCAACACAGGGATTTCTTCCCATAGGAAAAGCTGTTTTTTGCGGCATGGAAAATCTGTCGGCAAAATCAGGTGGATTGTGTGATTCCTGAGGTTCTTTTGGACCTACTGCTTCTGATGGTGAAGTTTCGCTATTTTGAGGAGTTTTTGAAAGCTCTTTTAAAACGCTGCTTGATTGTTTTGCATTGACTCCCTGATGTGCTGTTATTGCTTTTTCCATGTACGGCCTCTCAGATTGATTTGTGCCATCTTCATGACAGTTTTTGCAGTTCACTATCGTCATATCTGAAGCGTCTGGAAATTTAGCGAAAGTATTTTCATAACAGTGCTTACAGTTAAATATTTTCGGGGCTTCCAAACTAATTTCGGACTTGTTTGATTGGCTTCGATCTTTTGATTGAGTTTCCTGTTTTAAGGGAAAAGCTGGCTTTTCCTTCAATGTCTGGCTGTTGGAAGCAGAAGGTGCCCCATCTTTGGAACCCGAGTTATTCGAAGTTCCTACAGTGCTGGCCGATGCTAAAGCGCGAAACAAAATTTCCAATGTTGGGGTTTCAGTTGCCTTCTTTCCACCTGGTCGTAAACTTGCGGAAATCGTTAGTTGGCGGCTTTCGATGGCTTTTATTGCCATATCGTAGAGCTCCTTGGGCGGCAGATATGACTTGCCCTTGCTGTACCATCGGACCCGGTACTTGCACTGTAAATAATACAATTTGAGTTCCAATTGCTAAGAGGTACATTTACCCGCGGAACTTACGATATTTAGGAAGCTTTCGGCGCCTAGAAGGGCCCTCATGATGACAAATTTAAACGGGATGGGCCGAAATAACTTGATTTGGGAGGCTTGTTTGTTATGGGGTATACATAGCTTAAAATTTAGACATATATCTGAAAGTAAAGTCTGGTAAATATATTTAAAAATAAAATATTTTATTTCGTAGATGTCTAACTAAAGTTTAGAACGTCTTATAATCATTTCATAACTTTAAACAAAATGTTTATGGGACTTAAAATTGGTAGGAATTTTATAATAAAATATATTTGTCCTAAAGCTTTAAAGTTTGTTGATGCCTTTCCTTTTTTTCAGCTTAGGGGCCCACTTTCTTAAACTCTTGACGCTATAAAACATTGACCATTTTCGAATTTAGTAGCTTTAAATTTATTTCGAATGTATCCTCTTATTACCTAATTTATGTATCTGACATATATGTAGTTAGCATAAGAGCCTCTTAAAAAGTTTTTCGCTTAAAGTTTCTGTTTTTGTTGCTTCCAAAAATCAATTTAAGTTTGCCCTGAAATGTTTTCCATCACTCTCGAAATTGGAGCTCACCAAACAATCTCCGGCGTCGCTTCATTACGCCATAGAACTTGGTGCTGGAGCTGGTGCACATGCATCGATGCACCGATGCATCAACTCCTTTCCGAGTTCCGCGAATTGGGCGCGGTAGACACAGAACGATGGAGGGGATGGAGGGGTGGTCGGGCAAATATTAACAAAATCAACAGCCGGAGGCCTCGGCTTGATTGCTTTGCCAAGTGAAGTAGCCATATTATGATTATTGCGTACTCGCGAACTCGCCAACTCAACTCTTCGCAAGTGACGCAAACGAAGCTGAGACCACAGAGCGAAAAAAAATGCAATAATTGCATATTGACCCATTTTCTTAACAATGCATTGCGAAGGGCGCTCGCGGGGCATGGGAGTGCTGCAGGTTACGCATGCGTGAACGTGAACGTTGCCTTCATTTAATTAGGCGGCGACACCTGCGCGGAGAAGGAGTCGGAGACGGAGACGGAACCGAAGTCACCGTCGCCGTTGCAGTCTCAATTGCAGACGTCGCCATCAATCAGCAAATCAGCGAACGAGGCAAACAAGGCGGCAAGTGAGGCGTGAAAACGGCCAACAAAACTGCTGACAAAAAGAAAAACACCCATGAAGAGGTGGTTTTATTTTTGAGACATAACTTTAAATACTCTTTCTGATTTACATGACTCTGCCAAAGTTGCTGACACTGTTTTAATCACGGCACCAATAATTTCCTAAAAGTTGTATTTATTTTATAGTTCATTAGCTAAGTAAAATAATTTTTTTGTTTGCTCAATTTATTTTAAAAGTAATTTATTTTCTTATTAAATTCTATAACATCTTTAGAATATTGCTCTTAAATAATACATCTTTGAAATGTTGTGCGCTCGCTTTTCACTTTTATTGTCACTTGCGCGAACTGCTCAACCGATCTTAATGAAATTTTCCATTTGTCTTAGAGATATAATTTACAAGGTCTTTATAGATTAATTAGTAATTAGCTTTTTCCAATAGATATAGATTAAAAAAATATTTGTTAAATTTAACAAAACACTGATTGACGAGAATGTTAGGAAATCTAAAAGCATTTAAATATAAAATAATATTACGATTTCTCAATTTATTTAAGAACTTAATTTTTTTTTAAATAATAGAATAAAAATTTCTTTAAAATTTCATTTTCAAAAAGCTTCGGTTAGGGCATCGGAACAGACCGCTGCTGAAATTAAATGAAAACAAAAACGCAGAGAAGAGTGCTGCACAAATGAAAACGAGAATGGAGATGGAGATGGAGCTGGGACTGGGGCTGGTGCGATGTGAAGCGGGGGTTTTAACGGGCGGAATCGGGGCCAAGGGGCGTGCTTAAGCTCATTTGACAATGAAGTGCTTTGAGCCTGACGACTGCGTTTGGGCGCGTTTTTATTATTTGCCTGCCCCACTTTGCGTACAGCGGCGATAATTGACGCCACGGTGGCTGCAACTGCAGCTCCAGCACCACCGCATCAGCACCCAGCACCCATCACCAAGTGCCCAGCACCACCGACAAAAACAACAAATGCAAGGCTGCCTGATGGCCCACAATTTGGACTGCACTTTAATAAAGTACCCATTGGAATGAAGCCACCCAATCCCGAGCCCAAAGTGCGTCGCGTGTTTGCGTGAGTGTTTTTCACTTGAGGCCATCATCAGCATCGTCGATGCATTTTGCCTGAATTGCATTTGTCAGTTGTTATGCAATAGAGCTTGGTTGCAGCCATGTCAATTGGCAACCCAGCGCTCCATGCCGGCAATGATCCAAATGAAGGTGGTGTAATTTGGGATTGGAGCGGTGATTAGGGGTTCTGTTATTTAGTAGACTGGCTGCTTATATCGGGGAAAATAGTGGGGACTCATTGGAATTATTGGTTTAGACAAAAGTACTCAAAACTTTGAATTCCAAATTTTTATAAAGACTTTTACTACTAATTAAAAAGCAATCCTCATCTGCATATTTATTTATTTTGAAAGAAGTGTATGTATTGTATTATATTATTTATCGAAGTTTTAAAAATTTTTGAGTTTTTAATTTCCGGAATTTTATCTTATATGTCTAATGGTATATTTATATGACTTACGTATTTATTGTTAAGCTTAATATGAATATTTGGTAAAGGTGAACACAAAGTTTTCACAAATTAATTCAATAATACAAATTAAATTGACAATTTATTCCAGAGATGAGATGAGATAAATGGAATTAAAAAAAAATTATCATAAGTAAATTTTAAATTATCAATTTAATTCATATAAAAAAAATTTACTAACTAATTGACTCTCTAAGTCTTCCTGACTTATACTAGAACTAGACTTATACTCAATGGTTTTATATGTGCTAAGTAAACATATTATATATATTTATTTTTTTTTAATTAAATTTAAAACTTAAGAGTTTACGAAATGGATTATTTTAGTAAAATAAGAATGTTAGTACTAACACTATTCACTTCCTTAATCCCTAACCGTAGCCGGAACTTGTCTGATTCCCTTGATCCCGCCAGCACGCTGGCTTCATTACTGAATCCAAGGCTTTGTGCAAATTCCACTCTACAATGGCAAAGGAAAACGTTGATGTTGCATGGCATTTGTGTTGGTTTATTGTTGGCTTTTTTCTGGCACTGAGTAAATGCGAATTTCCTGCGCATTGTTTTGAACTGCTGGCCAAATGATCTGCCGCTCGCCACTATTCGCAATTCCCCCGATGACCTCAGCAGTTCCAGAGTTGCAATTAGTAGAAAAGTAATTTTCGTTTGGTTTCTTTATTGTTGTTTTGCGGTTGCTTTTTTCTCTCTTAAATCTCTGCTGCTCAGCGGTGCTGAAACAAAAAGTATTCTAACACCCTTTGTTCGCCCAGTTTTGCTAAAAACCCATATATATAATACATACATATTTAGCTGAGACTTTGTTGGATGCATGATTAATGTCCGTATTGAGTCATGTCCGCAGAGCGTGGAATCATTTCAAAAGCCAAAACCAATTGAACAGAGCGTCGTAAACCGAAAATAAAAGGCGAAAGAGCTTCGCTCAGGTTTCGTTGATAGCGCAGAACTCATCGCAAAATGGACAGCGAAATGGTGGCACGTGTAAACATGAGACGTGGATTAGGGCCCAGAACTTCGAAGCGCAACGAGCTAATTTTTATCGCCCTGTGACACACAGAAAACAAAACAACAACAACGCCAAAGAACAAACCAAACCAACCCACGTAACCCGACGAATGCAGTTTCACTCCGGGGAAAGTGTTCTTCTCCTCCGCCAAGCAACCAACTCGCGGCACGTACTTAAGCTTTGGGTTGGGTGTGGGTGCCACTGTTGCTCCTCCTTAGCTCCCCTTGTGTTATCTTCACCATATTTGGCACAACGGTCGCCATATCTTATATCAGTTGCACAGATTCGGCAAACAAAAGGCTGATAAGCAGCAGTCCAAATTCAATTTGCCCTCCATCGATAAGAGTTCGGGGGATGAGAAAAAGAGGGGAGACTTGTGCCAACGATTGCTCTGTCATTATGGGACTTAAGAGCTAAAACAGGCCATAAGACAGAGGACTCAGACAGAGAGTGACATAATAAATAAATTTAATCAGTTTGCTGAGTCTGAGTTGTCGGCTGAGTGGAAATCCGAGTCCAGTTCTTAGACAGCTTTAATTTCTGTGCCGACTTATCATGGTTTTTCTACCAGTTTGCTTTACCAGTTCGTATTTCGAAAGTTGAGCGATGGTATTTTCCAAATATTCTCTGTATTCGACGGCTTATCTCTCAAATGCCCATCTTCTTGTGTGTGTTTGAGACACTTATTCGAACTGTGACAATCTAGCTCGGCTGAGTACACTTAATCACGGCCCAAAAGTCGGAGGGCAACTGCGGCGCACAAGAAGTGTTTCGGTATTCAGTATTCAGTGTTTTTGGCTTCTCAAATTACTAAACAATTTGAAATCTTATCATGCGGTTGTGAAAGCTATTTTGTTTTCATTCATCGATTCCCGTTTCCATTGACCCAATTCCAAATGAGTCCCAATTGACGATTCTAGTCTTATGCGATAATTAACTTTTACTTTCCGCTATTTCGTCTCTCGCTTTTATTTTGATTACCTTCGGTTGTGCGGCAAACAAGTCCATTAAACATTCACACAATTTATGCAAATGAAATGAAGCTGAAATTAATTCTAAACAAATTCAAGCGAACAGCGCAGAATGTTTACGTTCGCGTCATGCGGCACTTGACTAATTAACATATTTATGCGATTTATGCGAAGCGCCTCTTTATTTCAATATCGAACTCAAGTCGGACCGGAATCTTACTCTTCGCCCTCGTCGGCTAGATTTTCTTTCGATGTAATGTGCTAATTGGTAATCACCTGTCGAGTTGCACCTGTCGTGGTCACCACTGGATCTTCAAGGACTGTTTGTAAATAAAATTTGTAGAATTCGCTTCCGCTTTGACCCTTTTTCTTCGTTATTGTAATTCTTTCTGAGTTTTATAAGCGTATTGAAAACCAGTTGGCAACCTGTTGGCCAGAGTTCTTAGTATCTTTATATTACATTTTACAGGCGGCTTGATGCCGATGATTACGATGATTGAGTGGTAGAACGATTTTTTATTATCTATTTATTTAGCTATTCGAGGAATTTTCATTTTGCTACATGCTTTTCAAGTTAAGATTCTTTCAAGGCGCAATCAAAGCTTTGTTCCTTCGCAGGAAATAAATTGCATTATAGGAAATGTCCGCACTGCCAACGTTGTTGTTATTAATATTAACGACACAAAAGGAACTCTTTGTCATCGTCTGCCAAAGTTGAAATTCAACCAATATACCTACATATATACGCTTTTCCCTCCAATGTATTTCCACCACGTATGCTGTCGATGGGATTCAGGGCAGGATCCGAGTCCTGTTTGCATTGCAAATTATATGACAGACTTCGATGTGGAGGTGGTCAGAGGAAAAATCCTCTTCCTTTACAGTCACAGTAAAAGCAAATTGATTGAATCTGCGGGAAATGAGTGGAAATGTGGAGAGGCTGTGAGACATATATGACTTCGTAAAGTCGGATACAGGTTGCCCTATTCAATAGGGCTAGTCATGCTGATTCAAAGTATGTATACTTTATATGTGCCCTTGACTTCGTTTCAAACTTTTGACTGAAGTTAACGCAAAGATATTTTTTAAAAGAATACTATTTACCAAAGTGTATGTGAAATGTAAGCAAGGAGCAAATGTAAGTTCAATTTGGCTTAACCAATTGTTGTTTTCCACCCAAGTTGAAATGCATTTTTAAACAATTTTGTAATAAATAAGAAACATATTAAATTATTTTTCTGTCAAGTTACTCTTAGCTAGTGATGAAAAATGTGATTTCATTTTGAAATGTGGCAAACAGTAAGTATATAAAAACCCTTTATAAGTAAGTTACAAAAGCTGTTTAATTTTAATACGCCCAACCGGAATCATTTAATTCCCTTACCCGCTTAAGGAGTAGAACAACCACTGCACTTAAGAACAACATACACATGCAGTGGAGCACAATTCGTTCAATGCACAGGCCAACTGCCGACCAGCCAACCATCTGGAGAAATGTCGCGACGGAATAATAATAAAAAAGAAAATTCTGAAATAAAGAATATATTAAAAAGAGAAATATAACTCAAAGAACAATACGCAAATTAATCACCACCCACGCGAAGCTCGTGCCTGTGATCTGCCATTCGTTAGCCTCTTCTCCACAAAAATGCGACAGTCCGAATCATTTTGCATTATCGTACATTTTATTGCGTATACGCAGCGTTGCAGTGGCATCGGCTTAAGCAGACGGCGACCATGATTTTTGGTGGGGTTCGGAGATGTGCCAATGGAGAAAATGTGCCACTGCCGCAAACGATTTTAATATTTATTATTTGGCTAACGATGACGTTGTCCGGTGGTGGACACTTTGTGCGCCAGTTCAGAGGAAATTCTGGGGGCTACGTTGGGGAAAAGTGGGCAGTGAAAGGCGGTGGCAGCTGTCGGGAGGTCGCTTTCAGTTGGCCACTCACAGTGCCTGGCACAATGACAAATTACGAGTTGAAAGTTGAGTGAACTTTGGTACCTCTTTATTTGGGTATTTTTCGAGCATAAAATATGTATCAGCATTTTGGTTAAACGGGTTCGAATCAATCTTTTATATTATTATTGACCCGTCCACTTTAGTATTCGTAAAGTACTATAGTATAAGCTGTTTAACATTACATAAGTATAGTACTTATAAATTGCTGTTATTAATATAATACCTTAAGAATGAAGTGCTTGCGTATTTGTTGCATGCCCACTTGTTTAATAAAATTCTATAACAATGAAGCTGTTCTTATTTAAATGCATAATTGAATTAAAAAACTTTCATAAGTATAATCTTTTTACTTCCTATATGTCGAAATATTTAATTCAAATAATATATATTTTTCCCAGTCTTATAATTTTACCCATACTTGGGTATCTAAAGGTCGGTTTCTCGGCTTCACTTTTTAACATTTTGGTAATGGTTTCCCTAGCTTTAGGATACTACCCATCTATTTGCTCTTTCCACAGTCTGCTGTCAGCTGTCCAATCTTTGGCTCCCGACGGTCGAGGCCTTTGGAATTGATGAGGCCTTTGTTGCTGCCTTTGGCAAATGAGGCGCAGATAAGCGTCAACTTTGACGCCCTCTTGAACATATTTTTTCAGTCGGTCTTGTTCTGTCTAAGTTTCCGATTCGGTTTCGATTTCCCTTTGAAAGCTCTGCTTTTTGTAACGCTTTGCTTATCATCGAAGCTGTTGCTTCTGTTGCTTCGACACAAGCAGATGGGCAAAGAAAAAAGAGGCTTAGGCTCGGTGGCTGTCTTTTGGTTTGTGTGCCTCTTGCTTGCCTCATTTGAACCCGACGAACCTTGTTCTATTTCCTTTTACTTTTTTCCATACACTTAATTTTTAAACATTTTCTTTGAATTGTTTTTATTTGTTTTTTTTTTTGCAGTTGTTGCTGCTGTTTGTGCGTGACATATTTGTGTGAGCATTTGACTCTCCTCTTTGCTCGTTTGGGGTAACTATTTGTTTGCCTCCGAGCTTGACTCGGATTTGTTGTCTGGCACTCTATTTTTCCATTTCAGGGTATGGAAAATTGCCTATCAAGAGTGGAAGAGGGTGCTTTGGGCTTATCATTCTTAAGGATCGATGAGGTAGGCATACAAATGGAGTAGGTTTACTCTGCAAATGAGGAATAAGATTAAAGAGTGTTGTATGAATTGTAATAAATAAATTGCCAGAAGACCAATATATATATAAATTAATATTTTATTTATTTTACTTGAGCAAAATGGCAAAACAATGTATATTCTATACAACTAGTTATGTAATTGAAAATAAATTTTGATTTAGAAGCGCATAACATTTATAATTATCGCCCCCGAAAGCCACGTTAAGTGCAGAGCCTTTTACTTTACTTTTTACTTTACCTTACTCATTTAATTAGCTGACACAATTATAAATTATATTAAAATAAAAATAAAACTTATTTACGGACTCCCTTAAGAGTATATAAATGTCGGTTCTCATAACACTGTCATAAATTCATAGTCTTTAGGCTCCTCGTACTGGCAAAGGGAGGGAGACACTGGATGAAGGAACAAAATCATCACTCATCGCTGCTTGCACTGATTCCGCAGCTGCTGCTGCTGCTGCTGCTGCTGTTGTTGCATCCGAGAAAATCCCCCAATGAATAGCAAGTTGCAAACTGCATTTGAATTGCAAACCCGGGTCCCCTCTGTCCCTTCTGCCCCATTCAGCCGAGCAGCACCAACCGACATTAGTTTAGCATATGGTTTACATAACTGAGAGTCGGGAGCAGCGGCTGGGAATACGACTGTTTCCCAAAGCCAAACTGAATCCTCGGCTTATGCTGCACTTCTAACTGTCTAAACTTTCGGTTTTTTATTTAGCTATTCAGAAAGTACACAGAAATTATTGTTTTGGATATTATATTATAACGGGAATGCTTTTAGTTAAATATTTCACGAAGTTTTTATTAACCTTACGAATTGTGAAATCAAAACCATAATAGCTTCAATATTTTTAAACCTATACGCATATAAATCAAAATTAAGATGCCATGGTATATAAACTTCAACTTGCCTAAGTTTGCTTGCATTCTTGTTTTTAAGTAAATTTTAGAAATGTAGTAAATGGTAATAGTAATTGATATTCACAACAATGAAATTATTTCAGTGTAGCACTTCCTGTTTGTCCTATCGCTAATCCACACTACATCTTTTGGATCGGAATTCTAGTTTCGTTGCTGCTTCGACGGAATCAAAGATTGAACGACTCGAGGGTCCACGAAATGTACGCAGCTCAACAACAAAATTTATTGAAATGGCAAAAGGAAGACCTTGATCTTTAGATTATCACATCAATAAATGGTTTTCGTGTTTTTTTCTTATTATTTTTTTTTGTCGCAGTCGTTTTGCTGTCGCTGATCTTTTGGCGGCGTCTTCAGCATCTCGTCTTCATCTTCTTGTTGTTCTTGTTCTTTGACGTGAAAGAAACGAAAACGAAACCGAAATCGAAATGAAACGGAAACTGGTGAAACCAGTCGAACAGCAGTGAAAAAAACATCTAAAAACCAAACCCACTGAACTTACCAAGCCGAAAAGAACTTCTTCGGCTAATTAAGAGTTTTGGTAAGCGCCAGCTAACTCGTATTCGTTTGTATGTTTGTATGTAACATATGTATATCTCGATATCCAAGATCTCGGGCCATTAATTTAAATGCAACTCTATTAAGAGAGTCTTTCTGAGTGAAGTCACAGTCGCCCCGTCTCGACTTGTAGATTGCTTCTCGCAAATGTGTTTCACAAATGACGCTTACGTGATTACATAAACCCCATAAAAAGTGATTTGAACTTGAAATCGCTAAATGCTCCATGCAATTGAAACAAATACATGGCAACAGAAACAAAAACAAAAAACGGCGCTTGTTAAAAAAAAGACTACAGAAAATCACTGAAATCTGTGGAAATAAAAACGTACTAGCCATAAAATTGTTACAATGGCAACGGACAGGCATTGGCTAAAACAACGGCAACAACAGCCAGTTTGCCCGTAGATCAAATTGAATAACTGCTTTAGCTTTCAGCTACAGCAGCACCAGCAACAACAGCAACAACAGCATTCAACTATATAACAAGAAGATCAACAAAAGCAGGCAAAGTCGAGAAGAGCGCATCAATTAGGCTTATAACCATGTATGTATATGCACATGTATAAACCCCTCTCTATATAATATATAGTATAACATTCGTGTTCTTGGCGACGTCGCTGTTGTCAGTGCAATTGCTGAACTGCCCTCTGTTAAAATGACAATTGCTGCTGTCGTAACAGATGTGGCTGCTGCTGTTTTTGCCGAACTACTGATGTTCTTTTTCTACTGGTGTTTTGGGCTTTGCACTTGCAAATTTTGCTATTTGTCCGTCTGACATTGATTTTCCTACAGACTTAGGCCCTGATGTTGCTGCTGTGACTGTTGGTGTTGCTACTTAGTCAGTGTTGGCAATAGTACTAGTCTTTTGGATCTAGGTAAGGTACAAGATTGCGAAAATAAGTATTTAGTCCAGTTGAAAGACACACAATTTTTCAAGTAATAAAGTAAGAAAAAAAGTACAAAAAGGTGAAAATTAACACATATTTTTGATTTGATTGTTTTTTTTTTTGGTATTATACCAAATATTCAATTATTGCAGTACTTTTTTAGTTACTCATTATTGAAGCAGTAAGCAACACTTTTAATGTAAATACCAAATCGGAATAAATTAAGAAAATTTTGTAATAGACACAACTTATTACTCACCTGGCCAAGTGTAAGATGTAATTGCAAGAGATTTTCTATCCGGCAATCTGATAACGAGCTAATGTCAGTCTCGATTCTGACTCACAGGCAGAGAAATTCTTGGCTAAGACAAATACGATAACATTGTCAATCTAGATTCCTATCTCGAAAGCGTGCACTTCACATTTGCAAACTAACTACAATGATTTCGTTTTGGAAATGGCAAAACTCATGCAACACGTTCTGCAATTCGACGTTCATTTATGAACCAAACAAATTAACTATAAAAGCCTTACAGCAATTCAAATTCGCTTTCAATGGCAAACAAACAAAATGTCACTGTCGGATAACTCAGTCGAGGAAGCCGCTTAGAGCCAAAACAAATTAGCAGCAAATATGGCCAGTCGGCAAGATAGATGCAAATGCAAACTCAAATTCGAAAATTGGATTGTCCGGGTTTTTGGCCGGGGGCCAATTGTTGTAGCCGGAAGCGAAATTCTCATATCCTGCGGACCCGAAATTCGCATGACAATGACAATTATCCCAGGCTAGTGACTATTATGCCAGTCCCATCCAAATACCGGGGGGACACGCCCACTCAATGAGGGATAATTGCGAGTTACGCATACGCCAAGTGCGGCCCAGTATGGGTTTGATTTTATTGCCCAGCGTCTGAGCCCCAGAGCCAAAGCCAATTTGAGCCTGGACCAAGCCTATTGGGAAGGGGAAGCCAAGCAACCGATCGAAAAAAAAAATGGGAAAACGAAAATGGGCAGAGACACACATTTCGGGGACCATAGAAATTTCCAAGTTTCCTTTTTTTTTGGGAGGATGAATCCCCATCGGTAAATTGAATTGAAGCGTCGCCAGAATGGGGAAGGCATCAATTTAATGCCAGGAGGGTGCCTGTTCTCCATATGTGTCTATCAGCATATGCAGAGAAAATATTTTTTTTCATAATGAATATTTGCAACATAAATTTATTTCGAAATTATTATATTTCAGGCGTGCTCTGAATTTCACTTTTACAAATTGCTTGCGCATTAGTTTTCAAAGCTTATACAAGGTAATGAGCTCTTTATACATCAAATTCAATTTTATTTAAAAAAAAAATATGTCTTAACTTTACTTAACTTTAATGTCTGACACAACGAATTGTTGGCAAATAAAAAATATTTATATTTATATTTATTTTGCCAAAAACTTAAAACCAAAAGTGAAAAGTAATTTGAGTTTTTAATATGCTACTTATGTGATAAACAATATTTCACCAGCACTAACTTATGTTAATAAATCAAACATTTGTGATGTGAAAACAATTTTTAAACAAAGGATAAAAAGCCTTTTTGTCTTTTGAGTGTACTTTCGTATTTATATTGGATTTGGGGACAAGGACACGGGAATCAGCACAATTGGGTTTCTTGAAAGACAGGGCCCAATCAGTCGAGTGAAACTGTCGTTGGTAATTGATTTTGGTAGGGCCAGTCCGAACTAATTAAGTTGTATGATTTCCTCTCCATCGCCGCAGCTCCTTCACTCATTTACGTTGTTGTAATAATTAGCGATAGTTATGCAATTATTGGATGCTGTCACCGCCATCGGCATCGGCAGCATCATCGGTGATCCCAAACTTGGTTGATGGGGGCGTTAAATCTTCCCGGTCTGGCCTTTAGGTGGTATTTCAATATGTACCACTCGAAGCAAAAGGCTTCCGCTTTAAGGAACTCGAGTTTTTCGGTGGGAAATGCTATGGACTCCAAGAAAAAAAGGGCCTTGTTTAAGATGTCCACCAATGGAGTACGGGTGCGTGTTAAAATACGCAATTTAACTGAAAAACGAATTATTTTTAATAAGATAATTTTATGCCTATATGTTTAGCAAATAGAGATGCTGATGATGATTTTCCGCTAAATTATTCGATCGTTGTCCGATTTTAACAAAATAAATCCTTAATTCTGAAATAATGTGCCATTATTATGTATCAATACATATTTACCTACTTGTCAAATCCCTTATTTCTAGATTTTTATATTTTTCGAAACCTCGACCCGTTCACTTTTCAACGAATAAAATATATACCCTTTTACACTACGATTAACTGGTACTATTAATGTCTAAGTCACTGACAAATTTTACTTACCATTGTACATCATGGTCATGTCATTGTAATTGCATGCGTAGGTAATAACAATGCTATTATAGTCCGTATACAAGATGTTTTTGTTAAAATATGCTTTAAAAAAAGTTTTAAAATAATTAAATATTTTCAGCCTATATATGGATATTAAGGATGTCCAGGACTCACGATTGTTTTGAACATTGTAAGACGCACAGCGTCGCTGATAGACGGGCAAATCCAAAGGAGTAGTAGCGTATGCAAACCAAACTCCTAATAACTAAATCAAAACGCAAGTTAGTGCTTATTTTCTTGAGGCCTTTCATTATTTCTTACTTTGGTTTTGTCTACATTCTTTAAGGTCTTCACTACGGGGCACTTTTTAACTTCAAATGATGTCAGCAAAGGCTTTACCGTAGCCCTGCGAAAACGCCAAGCTTTCGCTACATTAGTAAAACATATAATAAGTGAAACAGTCACTAATAAGCTTAAATAGATCAAGCGCATTACTACAATTTTTGTTAAAAGTCAATACTTGAAAAAACCCTACGATCCGGACCATTTGTGATGGTTCTAAGATCTCTACTAAAGAATCGTGGCTAATAAATAAAGGCTCGCTAATGAATTCGTTGCGGGTTTTAAAACGAACGCTTTTGATTATTGTCAAAGTTTACGTGCTGCATTCCTCCAAAGTTTCGCTTCTGTTTGCTGAATGTATTCGACTTTTGTTGAGTATTGTTATATGCGAGAGAATTGCATACCGAATTGTTGTTTTTGCTTCTTGTTACATGTACATATTCCATCACGGAAACGTCCAGCGGAATGGGAATCGGAATCGGAAACGGGGCACGGACATTCGCAATTGCACTTTGCCGTTGTCTGTCGATATTAAACAGGTCGGTGCAATTTCTGTAACAGCTATTTTCATCTGCATCGACTGTTGCTGCTGATGCGGTTATGTCATCGCTATTTGGTTCAGTGATTCGACACGGTTCAAACTTGTCTGGGTCTCGAGTTGTAAATAATTAGTTTAGTCGCCAGAATGATTCCATCTCTGCCTCTTGTCTCCAGTTGGTTAGCCATCCTGCTGATCTTGATGGAGCTGATTGAGGTATGGTCTAATTGCTGCGCCTGTCCATCTCGTCGCTGCAAAATCCCGCAGTGGCCGTGCTGCGACAAAAAGACCAAATGGTGGAATACATTTTTCGGTTAAGAAATGGTTCTATGGAAAATATTTTTTAAAAATTGTAAAAGTCTGGTTTTATCTAAGACACGCGCAGTTTGTTTTTTAAGACAACTAGTATGTTAATAAAAACATTAATTAATTAATTTTTTGGTGAGTCCGATTATTAAAGTCATTTTACCTATCATATTTTTCAATGTCAAAAGCTCCAAAACTTCTACAACTCTTTTTAATTATGGAAGCTTCACTCTTCGGTGCATTAAACAGCATAAATTATATATTTTCAATTAAAATCTGTTCAGATTGGTCGCCTCCTGCCGCTGATTTTTGCGCTTCTGGATGGGGATTTTATTTTTGGTCTATTTTGCGCAACAATTATGTGAACCCATGAACTTTGGCCCATGTTTTTCCACCCTCCCTTCCTCTTAACTTGACTGCATACCAACGTCAAATGATTTATTCAATTTGTGCTATGAAGCGTAAACTTTTTGTTTGCTCGTTGGCTGCGGAAGTTCACTGGGTGAATCAATCGCGAGAGTTGTGAATCCTCTTTGCCCGAGATATAAATAGTTTTTCCACATGACAAACTGATTCGAGCTATGCCGGTTAATAGAGATAGCGAGGACAGAAAGATATAGTAGGTCAGTTATAAATTAAAACTTTTTGGGTTGTTCGGCCGGATAAATTGTACATCATTATTGCACTTTGAGGCTTCATTGGATTTTCCTCTTCTCCAATTTGTTTTTATTTTACGACAGTTGGGCCAAAAAGTTTTTTTTTACAGCGATATTAAGTTAATTACTTTTGCTCGGCCGGGTGTTTATGGAATGCCAGCCTGCAGACTCATAATTTTGAGTATTAAGTTGGACACACCTCTGGACACTCTTCAATGATGTTGTCAAAAAGCGTGAGCTTTCAAAAATTATACTTTATATTTGAATTTTATGATGCATTTTGCACGCCCCTCAATTGAAGGGCGAACGTGCTTGCCACTCGATGATTTCTCCAGCCTTCGATATCGGTGAAAAAATGAGAACTGCGGCATCCGAAGAAGCTAAAACATTGCCGATGACAAAAAGTGAAACCGTATTAAGTCTGGAGTATGGAATTACTTGAGTTATGTCTTTATGCTCCGTTTGAGACTGATCCAGTTCATATGATGATAAGATAAAGTCAATAAATTGTATTACCAAAGGGATAACAGAGAAGGAGATTAATGATATTACACATATATTTTGAAAATTCCATGAATACAATTACTAAGATAATCAATTTTAAACGGAAATACCAAAAAAATATGTTAACTTATGTTTGATTTTAGATAACCAGAAGTAACAGACACAAAACGGTGAATATGTAAATATTGCTTATTCTAATGTTAGTGACCAGAATAATCTATATTTTCGAAACTATATATCTATATATATATTTTAAAACAATCTATAAATTTATAAATATGCGATATAAAAGAAATATGCACTCATTACAGGCTTATTCTGGTTACCTAGCGATTCCTAAGACGTAAACTTAATGCTTAAGTTATCTAGTTTCTGTTTCCAGTTTTTTGGAAAACATTTTCCAAAACTGGCAACGATGCCAGGCAAACATGCGTCTGTCAAAGTATCGCAAAATGTGTTGCTCATATAAATTTCATTTATGCCAGTTAAATTAATTACTGTCAACACATGCGAAGCGGCAGTGCCACTACTACAGCACAACCATCGTCATCGCCAAGAAGAGCAGCCACAGCAAAAACAATTGCCAATCAGCCACAGAAACTAAAGCAGGCCAGGCGTCCAACCAAAAGTCCAAAAAACAACGCAGAAAACTTGGACGGAGAGTGCTGCGAGAGTCAAGCGTGTTGCGAACATAAACACAAAGTCATAAAGTTTTTACACAAAAACATTTAATTTTATTGCATTTTTGGGCAGCAGCCAGAGCCCATACCCCAGAGCCCATACCCCAGACCCCAGTTCCCCAGACCCAATACCCCGAACCAGACGACGTCGTGAACAATGCACAGCACAAAAATTGGGCGTGGGGTGTGCTCCAATGGGCGGGCATGGTCTGCTGGCCAGGCCAACTTAATTTGCCGCAAATCGAGCAAAACTGCAGCAAACAGAAGCGCTCGAAAAAGAAGCGAAGCAAGCACCGCACACAATTTTCGGCAGGACAGGCATAATATTTTTTTAGTTTAAAATGGTCGTGGTGAAGTAGAATAAATGTAGAAAAATGTTAAATGTTAGATCAATTTCACCGAAAATACCTTTTAATAAGCAACATGCGTATTTATTGTAACTTTTTTGAGTAACCTATTGGTCCTTACAACTTTTTTTTCGTGGTTCTTTTGAAGGGTCGTGTGGGTTTTTGGCTTGGGCTTACTATGGTCTAAAATAATGGATATTCCAAATAATTTTAATTGAACATTAAACAAAAAAATATATAATTTTTACTCAAGCATAACTATTTTATAAGTCTGCTTATGACTACGTTTAATTTTGTCCCGTTCAAAACGGGCACAATCATAAAATTCGGTACTTTTGTGTTGCCTAGATGATGTGACCAATGACTTGCTCCGTTGGGATTGTTCCCACAAGACTCGTATAGCAGGCGCGTTTGACGTCAGCAGAACATGCGATCAAAATCACAAACACAATGTCGACATGCATCTGCAGATGTTTAGACAACTTCTTGTCTTGGGACTCGCAACTGAAACCAGAAACCGAAAATCAGTGTTGCGAGTGGGCAACACACTGAAACATGGGCAAGTAAAGTTCTTAGATTTTTTCTTTTTGGATGCTTTTGTTTTTTTCCCTTCTTTTACACTACCTCTTGCGAAAACTGTCCTAGTCAGCCGCAGGGCAAAAATTTGGGTAAATTTGTCGACAAAAGCGGAATAATGGGTCGAAAGAATTCATGGATGAATAAAAAGTGTATTAGACACAGAGACCTAGTTTTTCCGTGGGTACTACATGTCGATTGTTGCAATTTGGAAAATAAGGTAGACAATAAAATATATTGAACGTCTCTGGCCGCTTAACATCAACATTTTTTTATTATTGAGGATGAAACTTATGCGTTTTCTGCGAAGGTGACATAAGCTCTAGTTTTGAGTGCAAATGCTTTTGGTTTGGTTTTAAAACAACCAAGATACCTCTTTCAGATTTCCAGAGGTACCTGTTATTATTTAGTAATACATAGCTAAAAGTGTATGAAAATTTCGACATCAAGCATTTAGCATCGTTCCGTTTTTAAGCCTAGCACGATGGCAACGACAGGTTTGCGTTAAAGAAGTCAGCCAGAACATTTGGAAAAATACATATTTATGTGCTTGTGGGTCCATGTTTGCTGCTTTAAATTGCTTGGAAAATCAGTTTGAGTGACAGGCAAAATTTGGTTGGAGTTGCCCAGCCCCAGCCAAAAAAGCACAACTTAACTTTTGCATTGAAAAGCATATTAACAATCGACGCATGGGTCGGGGGTTTAAAGGGAAAAGCGGGGGTCATGAAGTATTAGGGCAAAGTTGAAATGCACTGACTGAATTGGAATAGGACAGAAAGAGAAGAAGGATTAAGGATAAACAAGAGCGAGTAGGAGGCATCAACAAAAGGCGGCTAACAAGCAACGAACAACAAACTTGTTAAAGTAAAACAAAATGAGCAACACTTGACGGCGACGGAGAAAATATGAGAGAGCTAAAAAAGTCCACCTAAGATTCGTTAATTTATTTTTGTGTAACGACACCGACATACTCTTTGGCAGTTTAATATACATATATATTGGAAATGGTTTACCTGGATATAAACTTTTATAATTCTAGTTCTTAGGTAATTATTATACTTTATTCCCAATAATATTTGGTTTCGTACCTTTAAAAAATAATTATACATTTTTTTTTGCTAGTTTACAATTTATTTTAGCACTTCTAATAATTTCAAATGAAATTAAACAAATTAAAAGTTAGCCCATAACCTTTAGATAAGATCTGAAGTTCTCCCCTTTCCGTCAGGGTATTAAAAAATTCCATCGCAAAAAGGTGTTACTATCTTCCTTTGTAGACCATTGCAGGCGCCATTCTTTATCCCCAAGTCTGTGTATAAAAGTGCGAGTTTTTCGCGTGTTTGTGTGAGGGCGAGAGCTTCTGTCTGTTTGTGTTAATGACAAGTGTTTTCATGTTGTATATAGTATGTTCCTCCACTTTTTTCGTATGCGTCGCGTAATGACAAGGAGGATGTCGATGAGTATAATGACAACATCAATGCTGATGGTGATGGAAATGGGGCGAGGAGCAGGATGATGAAAGGAATGGGGTTGCTGATAGGCTTGCCACAGGACAGAATAGCAGCTTAAAGTGCTTGTTATGGTTTTTTTTGCCATTCTACTAACTCATAGAGAATAGAGGTATCTGTTATTTGAAAAAAATATTTAAAAATAAATAAATTCAAATATATCCTTTGTTGGGGAATAAATTTGAGGTTAAGTATGATTATATCTCTATGAACAAGAAAGTTTCAGTTTAAGTGCTGCACCTACTCCCACAAAGAATACCGTGATCTCAACAAAATTGTATATTTGCAGGTCTTAGGGATTTATTTTTATGCCAGTTAAGAAATCGCCCGTAGATAGACAATATAACTTCTGAAAATAAATGAAAATACAAAGAATCATGTATTCGAGCTATCTTTTTCTATCTTCTGTAAATTTTAAAGCTGTCTGCACGAAACTTTTCCAAAAGTTGTTTTCCTGTTGCAGTTAGTATATAGCGTAACATGTGCAAGAAACACGAAAAAAAATATATCTTTGCTGTTTTTTAATTTTTTTTTAGGTGTTCGAAATAAAGTAATTACGATTTACAGTTTATTAAAATTATATGACTTTATCATATAGCTCAAATGGAAAAAAATTTGAATATTAAGAAAATAAATGAACAAAACTTTAGCTTCTCTATTTCAGAATTACTTTTTTAAATTTGTTCAAATCGAAAATCGGTTTAATACAGCTGGCATAGGAACGCTCAAACAATTGAGTTTCAATGTTCAATGCAAAGAATATATAATTTTTGTAATAGCTGCAAGGGTATATAAGCTTCGGCTTGCCGAATTTATCTTTCTTGTTTTTGCTTTTTTTTTGTTGTCCCATTGATGAC